ATTTTTTTTTTTTTCCTAAATGAATGCCTGTATGCTTCTATTTACTGGGAGACACTTGGCAAAAGGAATGATACTACTTTTATTTTTTTGTTTATTTTTTGAGATGGCGCCATCTTGGCTCACTGCAACCTCCAGCTCCTGGGTTCAGGTGATTCTCCTGCCTCAGCCTCCCTAGTACCTGGGACTACGGGCACCCACCACCACGCCGGGCTAATTTTTGTATTTTTAGTAGAAACAGGGTTTTACCATATTGATCAGGCTGGTCTTGAACTCCTGACCTTGTGATCCACCTACCTTGGCCTCCCAAAGTGCTGGGATTATAGGCGTGAGCTACCGCGCCCAGCCTGGAATGATATATTTTTTAAATGTTTGAAATCTCTGAGTAGCTCAGACATTTTTCTGGGAAAGACAGATGTACACATTTGCATTTACTCCCTCAGGTCCTCTGCCCTGACACAGTTTTCACCTGTTCTGCCTGTAGCTCTTGTTCGCCTTTTGGACAACATTACTATTGTTTGTCTTGATAGATGTCCCCCCATCCCCAGAACTGGCAGACAGTGTTGGAGGCAGGGGCTTTGATAGTGGGCCAGGCGTGAAAAGTGCAGAATGTCTAAAAAGGGAATGTGTGCATGAAGTTTTTTGGGGGAAGAGGAGCTAGAGCAAGTTACTCTGCCTGTTTCTCTAGAATCATTTAAAGGTAACCTCTGAATTGGGAAGGAAGGTTGTAGTTTGCAGGGAGTTTACCATTTAATAGGCTTTTTTTCCTAAGCCTGACTGAAGAAATAATTTCTTTTCCTTTTCTGCAGCTGAAAATAGTGATGGCATCCACATAATTTTGAAGTGATGTCTTATATAGACTGAACTATATTCAGTACCAAATAGTCACGCTTACAAGTGTGTGAAGACTGAATCCAAGAAGTCTTGGGATTGGATTTTACCATATGAAATGTTTCATATTGAAAACACAAGATGATCTTTCTAATGAGCTGTATGAGAGGTGAATCTCCTCACTGTCACTGCCATAGCCAAGCATCCTCGTGAGAGTGAGCACATCGGCACAGCATGCATCCAGCTCTGGAGGCCACGGTGCAGGCATAGCTGCCTGCTTCTCTGGCAGAGGCCAGTAAATACAGTTCCTAGAAGCAGCCTTTGCTGTCTTTTTACACTGTATGCGGTTTGGAAATGAATGTAAAAACTTATGTGGGCATTTACCTTTCTGTGCCAGTTTGGCTTTTATTGCCTGAACCTTATGCTGACCTGGAGAGGAGATGGGGGGGGGACAGTGCTGTTGTGGAGCCAGCAGTGAATCTGTGCGGAGAGATGTGTTGTGCTGATGCAGCCATTGGTGGTCAGGTAAGAGGCTTGGCACCTTCTTGGAAGAAATCATGTCTAAGGGTGTACATTTGATACGATCATGCCAGACTGGAGAAGATCCAAGCCAGGAAGATGGGCTTGAAGCAAACTGCATTATCAGGAGTACCTTGGTGAGAGGATCAGTGTAAATCCTAATAGGTACAAAGACTTTTGTGTTTTGGCTTTGTCACAGAATTATTGAAAAACTTTTTTGCTTCTGCTTCCATTTTTAGCATTTTAGTTTCTGGTTTTCATTTTTGGAGATTCTTTGCCTTTTAAACTCGTGGTTTTTCTCTCGTTTTCTTCCCTCTCTCCATCTCTGACTACTATCCCCCACCTCACCCTAACCCCCCACCCCCACCATCCCTTTAAAGCCCTACCCCAGACATTGGAAATAGGTGACCCAAGTAGGGGGAGAAAGTATTGTTGATAGCTTCTGACTAGGTGTTAAGGGATCTTCATTATGAACAAGATGAAATTTTTTCATGGAAACACTAGATGTTATCTATCAAACACTAAAATGTACCATCCAAATCTCTTAAGCCTCTCCTCAAATATTGAGCTTTAGTACAATTATGGATAGACATGCTGGTGATTATTTAGGGGCTTTTTATACACCACGTTATAGCTTCTTTCTTTATAAAAAGAGTGCCTCCTTAATAAAACCAAATGCTTGTCTGCTAGCATACTTTTCAAAGGGAATCCACTGTTTTCTCACTTTCCTCCTGTATCTCCGTCTTTCATCCAGAACCTTCCCAAAATCCATCAGCAAGCATGTTTGAGGCCTGTGGTGTAGGGGACTGAATTTTTTTAAAAAACTTCTGTTCCATTTTAATTGTAGCATCTCTCTGTCCATATACCCAGATGTCCTGATTTGAATGTACTATTTGATCCTCATCTTTGTTCAGGCAAAAATAGGAAATGAGTAGTTTTGAGTTTGAAATCTCTCCTAGAAGACAAACTACTTCAGTGGGTAAAAGCTTTGACATTTTAGGTTTTATTCATAAAGGGGGTTAATTATTTGCTACAGAGAAGCACGGTCTGTTTTCATCTTCAGTTTGAGAATATCTTACTCTAATAGACCCTATAGACAGAGAGCTTTCCTTTCTGACTTTTTCCCTTTGCTTTTGTGTGACCACATATTTTCTGTACCAGCCACTGGGGAAAGAAGTGAGTTTTAAAACAAAACTCTTGTTTTAAAAGTTTTGCTTGTCTATTTAGCATTCCTTTTCGGATCTCAAGATTTATGGAACAATAAATGTCATTTAATGCTGTGTGCTTATTTTGAATTCTTCATCAGGTTTTAGAAGCGGGGTAAAAATACTTAGATGTTTATCAAACTTGAAATTATACTGAGTGGCATTGAACATGAGTTTGTCCCAGTGAAACAGGCGAAATAAATTATGGCACCAGCAAATTTGTTACTTTGTTTTTCTAATAGTAGGATGTACACATTTCAGGATAATAAATGTTTTCTGATTGATTGTTTTGCAAATGTGTGTCTCATTTAAAATCCCAGTTCCTGCTAGTGTCACTTTATGTAATAGAATCAAGGGGTTTCCCTTTGTGTGTTCTGTGCCAGTGTAAATGTAATAAGAGGTTAGGCACATAGTTTTTGCCTTTTCAGTTTATTTTCTCAAAGCTGATGCAATTGAGGATTTTTATTCCAGTAACTGTTCCAAATTTTAAAAGGAAGCAAACCTGATTTTCTTACAAGAGGTTCTCCTGTTTTGTAAATGAGCCATGAGTCATTGAGCACTGAGTCTGGTAGCTGTGATAGGTTGTATCCTGGCTCAAAAGAAATCGCATATAGAAGGCTCTGGTCATTTATTTTATTTTATTTTATTTTGAGACAGAATCTCACTGTTGTTGCCTGGGCCTGGAGTGCAATGGCATGATCTTGTCTCACTGCAACCTCTGCCTCCCGAGTAGCTGAGATTACAGGCACATGCCTCCACGCCTGGCTAATTTTTGTATTTTTAGTAGAGATGGGGTTTGACTATGTTGGCCAGGCTGGTCTCGAACGCCTGACCTCAAGTGAGCCACCCACCTTGGCTTCCCAAAGTGCTGGGATTACACGTGTGAGCCACCGTGCGCCTAGCCTTGTTAATTTTTTAAACAAAACTCTAATTCATAATCACTGAAGCAAGTCTGTTATATGCTCATTTACTGAAGTTGCTTCCTGCATCAGTCCTCCTCCCCAATCTCCACAACAATGGGTATAAATGTATATTTAAGTAACTGCTATGGTATCCACAAAATTTTTAGACCAAGGAATACTGGAAAATATCATAGGCAATAAAATGACTTTAAGGCTTACTCTGATAATCTTGCCAAGTCCATCTATGGGAAGATAAATATATCTGCTTTCTTTTCTTTTCCTAGAATGCAGCTGAGGTAACATCCTTAAAAATACTTACAGAACTGTGTATCTAATAAAGGTATTGCCAGTCATGGGAAAATGTCTTGCCTTTGCTGTTTCACTTAAGTTTCTCATGAGCTCCTGGCTCTTCATTTTGGGGGAGTGGTTGTTAGGAAGGGCTGGCCACCATGAACACCTACATTTACAATGAAGGTGGCGATAGGTTCTTAATAAAGATCATAAATGTGGACAGTGTGGAGCAAGAATCAACCACAGTAAAGAGTAGGGTCATCTTAACCAGATTTCAGATGACATCAGGAAGGTGTGAATTTGGAAAACGGTTTTCCCTGGATGTGTCTGCCATAAAATCATAGCAATAAAACCCTCTGACTTAATTTTTTTTAAAGCATTGCAATGGTTTATTCAATTTTATGAGTCTAAAAGGTACCAACACTTAACTGATCTGAGTTTTAAGTTTGTAAAACTTTTGAGTAGTTATGATGTAACCTGATTCCTAAGATTTCAAAATAAACTTGAAAAACAAAAATCACATCCATTTTACATGCATCCATTCATTACTTTTAATTGATTATATTACAGTTAACTTAAGCCTAATTCTTTAAGGTCCCCCCAGTTTTAGAGAGGTGTGGACATAATTAGCTTTTTTCCTGTCATAAAAATGCATGATGTGCTGTAGCATACACCAGAGCTTCTACTTTACAGTCAGGCAACACAGACTCTGAGCTGCTTTTGTGTTTGGTCCCTGGAGGTGTATATGACAGGTTGACAAACAGAAAGGTGAAGACCCTGCTCCACCCAGTATAGAGTCCTCTTTTCTTTGGTGTCTCATGGAAACCTATTAACATGCCTTCCACATAAGTCTCTACATATAAAACTATCAGGCATTATGAATTTGCAGTACAGTCACTTTGATAAAGTTGCTATTTTATCTTCAAAGTGGAAAAGTTCTGCTAATCAAAATGAAATTGTGAATTAAAGTAGGCCACTGGCTTAAGTATCAGGTAGAAAATCAACAGCTTATTTTTTCTGCTCAGTTTGTGCTAACACTGATGGTCTGCTTGAGGAATGCTGAGAATGCCAAGGGTAGGACTTTAGTACCTAGGTAGGTACCCATCTCTTAAGAGATCCAGGTTTCTGGCATGGTCCTGGCTGCATTGAGACCACTTGCCACGTGTTAACTGACACAAGGCTTTGATTGATTCACAGCAGAATAAAGGTGAAAACTATCACCAGAGTTACTGCAATCCATACAGAAGTCTTTTACCTGTAAATGCCTTTCCCAATGGAGAATCAACAGATTGGGTGATGGAGTAGGTCAGGAAGACTCGCGTCTTCTAGAGGAAAGGATGCCTCATCACCCCTTGGGCTCAGGCAGCTGCTGTCAGAGAATGACACAGCACCTGCACAGTCGCTGTCCACTTCCTGCCACTGCTGTCGGTGGGGTGACGGGAGCGAAGTAGGCGTGGACTTTGACATGAGGGAGCTGAGCCTGGAAGGATGAAGAAAAAAAGTGTTTACACTGGCATTTTTAGGATTATGGTCATAATTCTAGAAAAGCCTATAGTCCTCCATTAAAAATCTTCACCTTAATAAGTCAGTTCAAATAGAATTTATGCTATAGATTAGAGCTACTCCTGTTACTCCCACTACCCTCTGCCCCCCAATAGTACCTTCTAAGAATAACTGAAAACACTTGAGTTGATATACATTGATATATTTCCACCCAGGGGTAGTAACCAGCCCTGTTTGCAAACTAAGTGAATGTTCTCTACAGCTGTAGCACCCTGGATGGGGCTGTTTTGGGGCATAAATACAGTTGCCTAAACTTAAAATGTACTCAAGAATATAGGTGAGGCCAGGGCAGTGGCTCATGCCTGTAATCCAGGACTTTGGGAGGCCGAGGCAGGCAGATCATGAGGTCAGGAGTTCAAGACCAGCCTGGCCAAGATGGTAAGACCCCATTTCTACTAAAAATAGAAAAGTTAGCCAGCGTTGTGGCTCACGCCTGTAATCCAGCTACTCAAGTGGCAGAAGAATTGCTTGAACCCAGGAGGTGGAGATTGCAGTGAGCTGAGATCATGCCACTGTAATCCAGCCTAAGCGACAGAGCAAGACGTCTCAAACACAAAAAACAAAATCTGTTAAGCCATCTTACCTGGAAATTAGCCAAGATAGTTCTACCTCCTACTCATAAAGACCTTAAATTACTTAACTGCTTGCCTTCAACATAGGCTTCTTTTTTTTTTTTTTTTTTTTTTTCCTTTCCTCTTCTCGGCTCTTACCCCTGATGCTGGAGTGCAGTGGTGCAAACTTGTCTCACTGCAACCTCTGCCTCCTGGGTTCAAGAGTCTCCTGCCTCAGCCTCCTGAGTAGGCAGCAACCATGCACAGCTGATCTTTGTATTTTTAGTAAAGATGGGGTTTCACTGTGTTGGTCAGGCTGGTCTGGAACTCCTGACCCTCATGATCTGCCTGCCTTGGCCTCCCAAAGTGCTGGGATTACAGGCATGAGCCACTGCGCCTGGCCCAACATAGGCTTTCTTCTAAGGGCTCTGATCACCAGACTATGTGAAATCTCCACTCAGACCGGACCCATTTGGGTTGAATCTTCCAGGGTGAAGTCTAAGCAAGAACATTTTGAAGACATCTAAGGTGACGCTATTACACCAGATCAGTTTGCGTAACAGAAAATGGATTTTTTTTTTTTTTTTAGATAGAGTCTCACTCTGTGGCCCAGGCCGGAGTGCAGTGGTGCGATCTGGGCAACGTCTGACTCCCAGGTTCGTGATTCTCCTGCCTCAGCCTCCCAAGCAGCTGGGATTACAGGTGCCCACCACCACGCCTGGCTAATTTTTTTATTTTTTATTTATTTTTTAACAGAAATGGGGTTTCGCCATTTTGGACAGGCTGGTCTTTTCTGACCTCAAATGATCTACCCACCTTGGCTTTCCAGTGTTGAGATTATAGGCATGAGCCACTGCACCTGGCCTGATTCTTGATGTTCTCCTTTGTTGCTTAGAAATGTCAGGTGTGACTGACTCCCCTGCCCCACACCTACCCGCATCCGCTTGATGCCTGCACGGGTAACCTGCTGGCAGTCATACAGCTCAAGGCGCTCCAGGCCTCGGCAGTTCTCTAGGTGTTCCAGGGCCACATCAGTGATGAGGAGGCAGTTGTCCAGCTCCAGTACCCGCAACCTCTCATGGCCACAGGTGCTGTTGCTCAGGTGCAGGATCCCATCATCTGTGATGAGTTCACAGTGGGACAGGCTCTGAAATAGAGAGAAATGAGTAAATGCTTGCAGGACCCTTGTTCCAAGGCTCAAGTCCTAAAAAACGCTGGCAGCTAGCCTTTTTGCTCTTCTGCCATGGGATGACACAGTAAGAATGCTCTCAGCAGATGCCCGTCTGGACTTTAGAATTATAAGAAGTTTCTGTTCATTATAAATTATCCAGTCTGGTAGCAGCATAAAACAGACTGAGACATTAGGCAGTGAGGACCAAACACAAAGCCTTTGGTCATGGGTTTGCTGCACTGGGAGTGGCTTCTCTCTTCTAATTGTGTAAAGATGGAAATAAAATTTTCAGGGGAAATTTCAGAGTTTGCCCCCTTGAGAGCCATTTTATTGGCCAGTTCGCCATCTGAGGGGATGCCAGTGAAATGAATGCATCTCATGTCCTTGTTCATTTAGAAAATTGCACTAACAGCTGTGCCCCACAGATGTATTGAACACTCTGCAAGGTGTATAAATCAAATACACCTTGAACAGTGTGATCTGAATTACTAACTTATCTTGGTTGCAGAAGATAGATTCAGATGATTATATAGCCAAATGACATTTGTGTAATTCCCTTTAAGTTCTCCATATCAAAAAGTTTCAGACCTGACAGTTTGCCCCAATGCATGTCAAATGTAAGATTCACCCCAGCATGAAAACTAAGAGAGGCACAAGTACTGTGTCAACATCCCATTTGTTCATTTGTTCTTTCAAATACATGAGCCCCCAAGTATGCAATCATGAGTAAAAGTATACTTTTCTGCACTGGTGGAGCCCAGACTGGAGAGTCTAGAAAACCAAATAATGCTAATTAAGCTTTAAACTGAAGCTGAGGTGCTTTGAGAGCATATGATAGCAGGATTCGTCCTGAGAAGACCACTGAGTTGATATTTTGAAGGGTTAGGAGCTAATCCTAGGAAAGAGCAAAAGTTTATTGTGTGCAAGGCCCAGGGGAGCAGGAGAATGGCAAGCACTGTGTTTAGGAAGAAGATCAACATCTAATAAGTGGGAAGTAGGAGGACGCATTAGATGCAGATGGAATTGGGGACGTAAAGACCAGATCACCGAGTTGTGTAGGTTACATCGTTCTGGTTCCAAGGTCAGTGAGAAGAGCTGTAAAGACAATGGGATGTTACAATTGTTCTTCAAAAAAGATGGAAAATAAATGTTGGTGTGGATGTGGAGCAATTGTAAGTCTCATAGGCTGCAGGAGTTATTTCAATGTTTCTGACTGAAATGCATACATGTGTTAATCAAAAAAACAGGAATACTGGCTGTAATAGCCCCAAACTAGATGCAGTGCTCAAACAGTCGAAAGTAGAAAGGATAAAGAAATCACAGTGTATCCATTCTATAAAGCAATGAGAATGAACAATACACAACTACATGTGACAATATGGATAAGGAAACCGAATGAGTATACACCATTCCATTCACATCATTTAAATAAAATACAAAAAGAGGTAAAACTAATATATGTGATTTGGAAGTCATGACTTTTGGAGGATCAGTAATTGAAAGGGAGCAGAAAGGGGCTTTCCGGGGTCAGAATAATGTTGACCTTTGATCAGGGTGTATTCAGTTTATGGAACTGCACTGGTCTATACACCAATGATAAATGTACTTTTCTGCATGTATATTTTACTTCAGTAAAGTTAAAACTGAAGAGATAAACCACTCTGACTGCCAAATGTTTTAGTGCAGAAGTGGATTCAGTTTAGAGCAAGTGGATGGCTACTGCAGTCTATGAAGCAAGGAGATGCCTGAGAGTTAGGACTGGGCAAGTCCTGGTGGGGAGACCTGAGCGGATGGTATAAGCTATTCCTGAAAAATAAAAAATCCAAGACATAACCAATACTGGTTGTAACAGCCCCAAACTAGAAACTAGAACTACTTGCTCTGTCAACTAGGCAGCAGAGTACAACCTTGAGGGAAGGGAAGCTAGAGGAGAGAAACTGTATTGGAACTTGATGCTTCAAAGATTCTTCTCTGAGCTTGATCTTAACAATATGGAATATGTTTACTTTCTCACAAATTGAATCCCTCCACATGGTTAACATCAAATGGTATATATGTAATCAATGCTGTTCACTGGTTTTTAGCTTTTATAACTGACTTAGGAGTAAAGCCAGAACTTCATTATGGTTCTTTAGGAGGCTGTTTAAAATTGGGGAATAAAAAAATAGAATTTTGATTATTTATAATAAAATGGAACCAGAAAAAAGTGTCTCCCTATGTATATATTTTATTTATTTATATTTTTGAGATGGAGTTTCACTCTTGTTGCCCAGGCTGGAGTGCAATGGCGCAATCTTGGCTCACCGCAACCTCTACCTCCTGGGTTCAAGCGATTCTTCTGCCTCAGCCTCCCAAGTAGCTGGGATTACAGGCATGTGGCACCACACCAGCTAATTTTGTATTTTTAGTAGAGATGGAGTTTCTCCATGTTGGTCATGCTGGTCTCGAACTCCTGACTCCAGGTGATCCACCTGCCTCAGCCTCCCAAAGTGCTGGGATTACAGGCATGAGCCACCGTGCTGGGCCTATTTCATTTTATTTACATGTAGATTCACACATACATATCTGTATATTTATAAACACAGATTGGAGAAAGAGGATGATAGGGATAGTGTATGATTGCCAGTTTCTCCACTGTTTTAATACAGGGAAATTCAGAAATCAAGAAGTTAGCAGTAATATATGAGACTCAGGATATACTGTTGTATTAATTGAAAAACTTGTACGCCAGGCATGGTGGCTCACACCTGTAATCCCAGCACTTTGGGAGGCAGAGGCAGGTGGATCGCGTTCAGGAGTTCAAGACCAGCCTGGACAACATGGCGAAACCCCATCTCTACTAAAAAAATACAAAAATTAGCTGGGCACAGTGGGGGGCACCTATAATCCCAGCTACTCAGAAGGCTGAGGCAGAAGAATAGCTTGAACCCAGGAGGTGGAGTTTGCAGTGAGCCAAGATTGCACCACTGTACTCTAGCCTGGGTGACAGAGGAAGGCTCCATCTCAAAAAAAAAAAAAAAAAAGAAAAGAAAAGAAAAGAAAAACTTATGTACTGGCATATGCAAGTACACATTGAAATTTTAAAAACTGATTTAAAGAAAATCAGAGGGTGCTTGACCTGTTCTAACAGGAAAATCCGCTGCCAACACAGTTCCTACAGCAGCGGGCCTTCTATATGAACACTAACAACATAGGCAATAGTCACAGCTGTCTGGTTCGGGCCAATCCTGTAAAGTAGGTATTATTCTCTTTTTAAAGATGGTAGCATTGTGGCTCAAAAACATTGAGACTTGCTAGTTATACCCAGCTCAGGCTGGCCTTAAAGCTTTTCTCCTTTCATGCAGTCACTCATCCCTGGCGGGGAGGCATTCTCGAAGTAAGCAGCTTCTATAACATTTCTGACTCGGAGCGGGTTAAGGTGGCGGGACAGAACATGCAGAGTGGGAGGCAGAGGTGCTTTAAACTCCCATCAGCAGGTGTCTTGGGCTCCCAGGGATGTGGTGTGGATGTGTGTGCATGAAAGAGACAGGGAGGAGAGGGACAGAGAAAGAATCACTTTTCTTTGCAAAAAGAATTTCTTGAGAAAGACAGAAATTGGCCATAGTGGTTATCCCTGTGTAGGCAACATGGCAACTGGGCATTTTTCCCTTATATTCGTGGTACTTTTGTAAATTAACATTTTTTCCTTTTGAATTTTGTCAAATTCTTTTTCTGCATTAGTTGATGTGATCATGTAACTTTTCTTCTTTACATGGTTGATTACATCAGCCAGTTTTCAAACATTAAACTACACTTGTGTCTCTGGACGAAACCCTGGTTGGCCATGGTGTTATAATTATTTCTATATATTGCTACATTCTATTTGCTTAATTATTTCTATATATTGCTACATTCTATTTGCTAATATTTTGTTATAGATACTTGCTTCTATATGAGGAATATCAGTCTGTAGAGTTTTTTTTGGGGTACAATTTTGTTTGGTTTTGATAAGATGGTATTACTGGCCTCATTAACAACAAAAAAAGTTGTTTTGGGAGGCCAAGGCAGGTGGATCACTTGAGGTCAGGAATTCAAGACCAGCCAGGCCAACATGGTGAAACCCCATCTCTACTAAAAATACAAAAATAGCTGGGCATGGTGGTGCACACCTGTAATGCCAGCTACTCGGGAGGCTGAGGCAGGAGAATAGCTTGAACCCAGGAGGTAGAGATTGTAGTAAGCCAGGATCGTGCCACTGCAGTCCAGCCTGGGTGACAGAGAAAAACTGTCTCAAAAACATAAAATAAAAATGAGTTATAAAATGTTTTATTGTCTATTTTCGAAAAGAGTGTATAGAATTGATGTTAATTCATGCCAGGCACAGTGGGTCACACCTGTAATCCCAGCATTTTGGGAGGTCGAAGAGGCAGGCAGATCATTTGAAGTCAGGAGTTTAAGACCAGCCTGGCCAACATGGTGAAACCCTGTCTCTACCAAAAATACAAAAATTAGCTGGGTGTGGTGGCACGTGTTTGTGATCCCAGCTACTCGCCAGGCTGAGGCAGGAGAATCGCTTGGACCTGGGAGGTGGAGGTTGCGGTGAGCTGAGATCGTGACACTGCCCTCCACCGTGGGCGACAGAGTGAGACCCTGTCTTAAAAAAAAAAAAAAAAAAAAAAAGACGCTAATTTCTTAAATGTTTGGTAGAATTCTCCAATGAAGCCACTGAATCCGGACATTTTTTTTGTGGGGAGCAGGAGAATCTTAAAACTGTACATTCAATGAAAGCAGTCATCAGTTAGCTACCTTGCCTCCCAAGTTAACCCAGATCTATTGATCTTTGAAATCAACAGAGATGATGCCGTACGGAAAGAGAACCCAAACAGCTTCTTGCTGTGGTAGGAGGGCTCCCACCTCTAACAGGTGAATAATGTCACAGAAACTCAGACTTACCAGGGCTTGCAGTTTGGGACAGTGAATGGAGAGCTGGATGAGCGTGCTGTCGGTTATCTGGAGAGAAACACGCTGTGTCAGTGTGGCTTCCACACCAGAACTTAATACCTAATCCTGGCTTCTCCTGAACATGAGAATCAAAAGGTGTAAAAGAGAATTAAAAACTCATCTCAAACACTCCGGGGCTGGGAGCTCCTCTCTTCACCAGCGTGTCTAGAGATGTTCTTTGGTCTCTCTTCTGGTGCCGTAAGGGGGCTTAGGGCAAGGGACAAAGAGGGAGCGGGCAAGGAGCGTTCCCAGGACTCTCCTCTTTGCAGTCACCCCATCACTGGACATGCAAGCTTATTTATGGAGCTATCCTGTTCTCGTCTGTAGTTCAGTCTGGTGACTGAGCAGAGCCAAAAGCTCACACATCCACTGCCACGGCCTTTCAGGTTTCCAAGCCCTGCCACCCCAGCTGCTCCAGGAGGCTCGGGATGTCTCTGGGTGGGCCGCACCGGCCGGCAGTGACTGGGGAGCAGGCTGCCCTGCAGGGCTGTCATGGGTCCACTCACCAGGATGCATTCTTCAAGATCCATCTTCTCCAATTCATGGCAATTCTGGAAGAGTCCACAAGACAGACCCCACATGTGAGCCAGTGGTGGCTTGCCCTGTCCCTCTGAGTACTGGCCCAGTGTCCTTATTCTCATCCATTAAGAAGTATGCTCTGTTTCTAAAGTCACCCAGTAAACTAGCACTTCTGAGCAGCTGCCTTTTGAACCACAGTGCTTTGGAACTGGGAACAGGGCTGCCTCTGGCTGCATTTCCTTCCCTCGGCCAGGAAAGAGAGTTGTTTACAACCATCCCAGTGCTCACAGACATCAGTGGGGATATTTTAGCCACAGACCTGGCTCTGAGAGGGCCTGGAGATGTGGGGCACTAAGCCACACTGTGGGGTTGGGTGGAGGTGGCAGAGGGCATCAACAGTCCCAGGAGGACATGGGCTCCTGGCAGCAGGTCCAGAGGGGCCCCCAGTGGTCAGCATTCGCAGGACAAAGGGCAGAGTACAGCCCAGTTAGGGGGCACTGCTGAGAGGCCACGTTGGGGTCCATGTGAGGAAATGAGTCTCCTGCCAGGAGGAGACTTGTCCCACCTGACCCACCTGAGCAAGCGTGAGGCCCAGGCCCCTTACAGAACCCTCCACAGGATGTCCCTAGATTTCTGGCTAACTAGAAAACCTGCAGTATGCACCCCGGGGGCTCGGCTCTACTTTGTGCCTGTCTTTTCTGAAGGTAGTTTTTTGCACACCCAAAACCACTCCAAGTCACTTGGAATTCGGGAGGTGAATTACAGTTTGGTTTTATTCTTTAAATCTATGCCTTACCCGAGCTAAAAGTGTAAAACCTGCGTCAGTCAAGTGGGAGCATCGGGCAGCCTCCAAAATTCTGGGGAGAAAGTATATAGGGGAGAAAAAGGTACCAGCTGGTGAATAATGGAAACACATACTTTCTGATGCACGCGCGAGTCTTTTCTGTTCTTTGACGTGCTCTTGCTTCCGTTAACAGCCCTTAGGGAATGTGACCGGCTCAAGGCCCCACAGTTCCAAACTTCAGAGTAAATCCAGGAATCTTCCTGCTATACCAGCATGTTGTTTTTAAGTATTATTCTAATATTTGTGGGGTGTTTTTTTTTTTTGAAACGGAGTCTCACACTGCCGCCCAGGCTGGAGTGCAGTGGCAGGATCCTGGCTCATCCGCAGCCTCTGCCTTCCAGGTTCAAGCGATTCTCCTGCCTCAGCCTCCCAAGTAGCTAGGACTACAGGTGCCTGCCAACATGCCCAGCTGATTTTTGTATTTTTATAAGAAAAGGGGTTTCACCTTGTTGGCCAGGCTGGTCTCAAACTCCTGACCTTAGGTGATCCTCCCACCTCAGCCTCCCAAAGTGCCAGGATTACTGGCATGAGCCACCGCACCCAGCCTTGTTCACTTTTTAAACACATTTAAGATGAGCTTTTTCCTCAACAAAATAATCTTGAGATTTACTGCATTTATGGAAATTCTCAGGTACCCTAAAGGAAATTTTTAAAATTTGTAGACAATGAAAAATAAGTTAATTCTCAATTACCCATGCTTAATAGGGATGGATGCATGAATAACATTTCTAAGGTAAATACTCTCTTACAGTAATAATTTTGACCTCCTTTCTGACCAGTTTTGATCATCCAAATTCCTCCTTCTAAGCGGAAATATCTAAATGATATAGAACCTCCTCTATAACAGTAAAAAAAAATTGGTGAAAGGAGAAATACATAATTCTTAAAAGATATAGAACTGATGTGAGCATGGGGATGGGTCAGTTTCATTGGAAAGTAGAGATTTCTAAAAAGTATCTTTTCTTTTGGCTGGGCACAGTGGCTCACACCTGTAACCTCAGCACTTTGGGAGGCTGAGGGGGGCGGATCACCTGAGGTCGGGAGGTCAGGAACCAGCCTGACCAACATGGAGAAATCCCGTCTCTACTAAAAATACAAAATTAACTGGGTGTGGTGGCGCATGCCTGTAGTCCAAGCTAACTCTGAAGGCTGAGGCAGGAGAATCGCTTGAACCCGGGAGGCGGAGGTTGTGGTGAGCCGAGATGGCGCCACTGCACTCCAGCCTGGGCAACAGTAGTGAAACTCTGTCTCAAAAAAAAAAAAAAAAAAAAGTATCATTTTTTTCTGCCGCTTGGATAGAATTTAAGGTTGCTGATTCTGAGGTCAAACTATTACTGCTACTATTTTTAATATTCATAGCTGGTAATGATAATCTATTACCTTGAGGATCAGAATATAAATTATTTGTTTTTTGAGATGGGGTCTCACTCTGTCGCCCACGCTAGAGCGCAGTGGCATGATCTTTCACTTCAACCTCCACCTCCTGGGTTCAAGCAATTCTCCTGCTTCAGCTTCCTAAGTAGCTGGAATTACAGGTGCCTGCCACCACACCCAGCTAATTTTTGTATTTTTAGTAGAGATGGGGTTTCACCATGTTGGCCAGGCTGGTATTGAACTCCTGACCTCAGGCGATCCATCCACCTTAGCCTCCCAAAGTGTGGGATTACAGGCGTAAGCCACCGTGGCCAGCCTAAATTATTATTTGTTAAAAACAAATCCTTTTTCCCTACTGGGGAAGAAGCTAAGTAAGAAGGGTGATATTCCCCCATTCTGTCCGTCTGGCAGCAGGTCTAGAGGAGAAGCTCTTGTCCTTTGTATGTGAGGCTATCGCTCTGCTCACTATGTGCTCACTCGGATGCTTAAAGAAATAGCAGGATGGCCGGGCGCGGTGGCTCAAGCCTGTAATCCCAGCACTTTGGGAGGCCGAGGCGGGTGGATCACGAGGTCGAGAGATCAAGACCAACCTGGTCAACATGGTGAAACCCCGTCTCTACTAAAAATACAAAAAATTAGCTGGGCGTGGTGGCGCGTGCCTGTAATCCCAGCTACTCAGGAGGCTGAGGCAGGAGAATTGCCTGAACCCAGGAGGCGGAGGTTGCGGTGAGCCGAGATCGCGCCATTGCACCCCAGCTTGGGTAACAAGAGCGAAACTCCGTCTCAAAAAAAAAAGAAATAGTAGGATGAGGTGAACATTCATTAAGAAAGCAAGGTTTGCATTCACTTGTGGTAGACACGTTATACTCTCCCAGTACCTCCCACAGTGAACTAGATTTACACACTGTCCCACCCCAATTTGCCCAACAAAAGCCAGCAACACACAACTGCTGCCTCCGCCACCACTACCTGGCAAGCCTGTCCTCTCCTGCCGGAAGCCCTCTTGGTTAACTCAGCCAAACTCAGCTGCAAAGCAAAAAGTGTGGTGTACTCACTGCAGTCGTGGGCAGTTCAAACCCAGGGCTGTAAGAGAGGCGTCTGTGAGGTTGCTGCAACCCGAAAGGCAGAGGGCCTGCAGCCGGTGACAGCCCCTGCAGAGCTGCACCACCCCCTCATCCGTGATGCGCTGAGGAAAGGCAGCACAGAAAGAAACGTCACAAGGTGCCCACGGTACTCGGACAGGAGCAGCAGAAAAAGACCTGCTGCGGTGTGAGTAATTGTGGTGATTACTAGCATTTTATCCAGATAACTTCAACAAAATAAGTAGACACGTACTTGTGTTCATCTCTGCACAGCTTTAAAATATTCTAGCAATTTTAGATAAGATACATGCATCCAGGAAAAAGTAAGATCTTTTGTTATTAGGAATGGAGAATAAAAGTTTAAAATTCCATTTCTCCCTCACTAGAGTCATCAAAATATAGAATTTTCATAAAATTCATAAATGCATAATTTAAAAATCTGATTAAAGAACTTACGAGACTTTCCTAGTTAATGTCACCTTTTGGGTGACTTATTAATATTTGGTTGGATTTCTGCAGATTAATGCTTTAGATATTTATAATATATATGTATATTTATATTTCATCAAATGTTTTAGACAATAGGAAAATTAAATCATGAAATTATTAATACCTTAGAATTTTATGAATTTGGCCATGAAGATTCAAAATAGTATGTTCATTTAAACAGACTCATCGATATAGCAATCCACAGGCACATCTATATTATACTTCAAGCCATCTGCCAGTGCTGTCCTACACATAAGTCAAGGTCCGATTTTTGAATAGTCCAGGTTATAAGGTCAACATTTGTCCGGAAGATAGTTTGTTTTTTTTTCCCACCATCAGCGACTCTAAAGATTTAGAATATATTCATTTAAAGCCGAATGCCAGGGTTTCCCTTACCTTCCTCAAAATCTACATTCCCTTGAAAACCTGGGAGGAAGTAGCAAACATCCTCTTCGTTATCAATATTTGCAAGGGCAGTGGAGAAGGTCCAGCAGTTTTTGATAGGCTAATAACCTGATGAAAACGCTATCTTGCTCCTGCATATGCGTTTTATTTTTTTTTTTTTACTATTTTTTAACCAGGGGAGAGCGCAAACGCAGCCCCCCACTACCACAAGTTATGCAGTCGAGTTTCCCACATTTGGGGAAATCCAGGGGTCAGCTCATCCGGAGTGCAGTGGATAAGTCTCGCCCTGGGAAAGCCACCTTCCTGATCACAGCATCTCCCCTGCCAGGTGCATTTTATTTTTTAAAGCATTTTCACATGTGTTATTTCATTTTATCCACGGAAACAACGTGAGAGGAGTCATCATCCTCAATTTATAAGTTAAAAAGAAAAAGACACTGAGATCTTAGCATGAATTGTTCAGGTGTTACAACTATTTAGTGACGAGTTCACAACATTCCTGGATAGTGTCCCTAATACTCGATTCAACAAAATCACATCTGGTCTATGTTATTTTCAGGGGCAATGTCAGTGGCTTTGTATTAAGGATGATTCCTTTTGGTTGCTGCTGTTCTTCTATCTTGTGACAAATTGGGAGGTCATATAGAAACTCAGGATGAAAAATCCGGGTGTGGCAACACAGCCCGTCTCAGCTGCCTGGAGGGCTGCAGGGAGGCTCGGGGCACACTGCTTTGGGAGAGCACAGAGCAGATGGTGTTGAGGAAAGGCGTGCCACTTACTGAGCAGGACTGTAGATTGAGGCTCACAAGCTCATGGCAGTAATTCTGAATGTGTTTCAGAGCTTCATCTTCTAACTGAGTGGACAGAGAAAACAAAAGACAGCTGGAATCCAGGTGCGGGAACAGTGGGACAGCAAGAAAAACGCAAAAGCAACTTCCCCGATGATGTGCGCACACCCCCAACACGTAACACACACAGCTGTATCTACGCTCTGGTACCTGTGTGCAGCCCCTCAGGAGCAGGGCTTTCAGGCCTCGACAACCTCGCACCAGGGCCTCGATGCCATCCTTTGTGATCTGGTCACACCAAGAGAGGTTCAGGTATTCCAGGTTTCGGCAGCCCTCACTGAGAAAACAAGAAACAAAAACTTATGTGCGGTCTCTCCTTTAGACAGTTCATGACTAACTCTGAGTTTACTACCTCACAAGAAATTCAGGAGAGACCATGCCTGGGACCTCTTGGAATCACCTATTTCTCACTTCAATGTGACAATTAGGAAGGCTTCCAGAATGTTCATAGCTTTGGGTATTTCTCCTGACCACAAACAGCGGGTACTCCTACCTGATCCCCTTCAAGGAGCTGTTTGTAATAGACACACAGGAGGTCAGATCCAGATGTTTCAGCTTGGAACAGAATCTGCTAAGGCTGTAACACGTGCTGAAAAAGAGCAGGCGCACTAAAGACATTTTCAACCATGTTTCTCTCCCTTCACTCTCCCCATGACTACTGAGTCCCCAATTAATCTTCATTACTTACCTGTCTGTGATTTTTGTGCATCCATTGAGGTTTAAATGTTCAATGTTTCGGCAGTTCTGTGCAAATGTCCTAAAACGAGAAAACATTTTAAAGCTCCCTGCAAGTTGCTGGATAGCCACTAGAGGGCACATGAAGACACTGACGTTTAGAACAGCGCTCCCTCAAACTTTAAAGCACCTAGGGTTCTTGTCACAGTGCAGATCTGACGGTAGATCTAGAATGGAGTCTGACAGTCGGCAGTTCAAGGAAAACCCCAGGTGATGCCACTGCTGCCAGTCGGGGGATCACATTTTAAGAAGCAGAGTCCTAGACTGACTACCTATCAATCAGTTCTCCTTCACCCACAGCTTGGTGTCATCACCAAATCATGAGAATAGAGGCCTAGCTCCCTGCTCCCTCTGCTCTACAGAAAAATTAATTTGAAGCAAGGGGGAAAAACTTGTACTGTACCATGCTGTCACTTGCTTACCCTAGAGCCTTTCCAGAGAAACCATCTCTGGCAATTGATAGAAGTCAGCAGTCAATCAGTATCAAGACCCACTGATTTTACTGGTGAGGACACGCAGTCATGAAGAGAAACTTCCTCATTGATCTGTGGGTTGGTAGCAAGGTCAGAAGCAGCAAATTAAAACCCCCTATTCAGCACTCAGCGCTTAACATATTCATCAAGGACTAGCTCAAGTCATCTCCATCAATTTGAAATACAGTTTTGACATATGGGATGGAGTCCTGACCCTTTCATGCTATACCCCAAAGCCATCAAAACCTAACCTTACCCTTATTTGCTGCTTCCAACCTGCCCTGGTACAGGGAGGGGGAACCAAGCTGGAGGCTGATGGACTGTCTGAGATGAAGAGATGGGGCTGAGAGTCTAGGAAGACCAAGGCAGCTGGAGTTATCTCACAAGAGCATGGGAGTGGAAAGAATGTCACAAAAACTACAGAGCTCTGTGGAGGGTGCCCTTCAAGACTTAAGTACAGGCCAGGCACGATGGCTCATGCCTGTAATCCGAGGACTCTGGGAGACCAAAGCAGGAGGACCACTTGAGACCAAGAGTTTGAGACCAGCAGAGGCAACACTGTGAGAGTCTATCTCCAAAACAACGACGACGACGACAAGAATTCAGTACCACACTGATCAGTGCATGCATGTGAGGAAACTACCGAAAGCCCAAGGCCGGGGAATAAGAATCAACAAAAAGCATTAAAGCAAACGGTAGCCAGAACTCATCCAGGGCAAGGAATAGTGTCCATTTCTACCAAGATAGAGTGAAAAATGCCACAGTTCTTGGGGTCATAGGGTAGAGTATTGAGAAGAGTCTTCCTTTAGGAGTGGAGTACAATTAGCCCTAAACACTGCTTTGATACAACCTAACAAATCTAAAAACAAGACCTAACAGGAACTATTCCCAATGAACTCAACTGTTTCCCAGAACAAAACCCAAGAATATTTATAGGAATACAAAAATATCTGCACCCAACAAAGTAAAATTCACAATGTCTGGCATTGAACAAAAAATTATCATGTTTTCAAAGGAGGAGGAAAATATATCCATAATAAAAAGAAAATGTAATCTACTAAAGCCTACTCTAAACTGACACAAATAGCAGAAAGAACAAAGACATTAAACGTTATAATGTTATTGCCTAGACTATATTTCTATGACGCTAACAAATAAACATGTTATATAGACACGTGGAAAAATAAGAGATCCAAGTTAAACTTTTAGATATGAAAACCAGCCAGGTGCAGTGGCTCATGCCTGTAATGCCAGCACTTTGAGAGGCTGAGGCAGGCAGATCGCCTGAGGTCAAAAGTTCAAGACCAGCCCGGCCAACATGGTGAAAACCTGTCTCTACTAAAAAAATAAAAAATTTTAAAAAATTAGCTGGTGTGGTGGCACATGCCTGTAGTTCCAGCTACTCAGGAGGCTAAGGTAGGAGAATCACTTGAACCCAGGAGGTGGAGGTTGTAGTGAGCCAAGATTGCACCACTGCACTCCAGCCTGGGCCACAGAGCAAGACTCCATCTTGGGGGAAAAAAAAAAAAAAAGATAAGAAAATCACAATGACTGAAATAAAACTTTACTGGATGAAATTAATAACAGATTATATATGGCAGAAGAAAAGATTAGTGAACTTGAAGATGTAACAATAGCAACTATCAAAAATGAAACACAGAGGGGAATAAAAGAGAAAAAGAACAGAGCATGAATAAACTGTGGGACAACTTCAAGTAACCTAATATACATGTGATCGGAATCACTAAATAAGAGGAGACAGAGGAAGGAGGAAAAAATACTGAAGAGATAATTGCCAAAATTTTCCCAAACTTTACAAAAACAATACTCATAGACCCAAGGAACCCAAAGAACCAAGCAACATGAAGAAAAACACACCAAGGCACGTCATAACCAAATTGATCAAAACTAGTGACAGATTAGCCACGTGTAGTAGCGTATGCCTGTGGTCCCAGCCATTTGGAAGGCTGAGGTCAGAGGATCACTTGAGCTCAGGAGGTGGAGGTTATAGTGAGCTGAGATTGTGCCACTGCATTCCATCCTGGATGAGAGAGTGAGAGGAGAGAAAGAGAGAGAGAGAGAAACACCAGTGATAGAGAAAACCCTAAAAACAGCCAGAGAACAAAGCCATGTTATATAAAGAGAATAAAACATAAGGGTGACAGATTTCTCACTGGTAATGAAAAAGCAAGAAAACAGAGGGGTACCATCCTTGAAATACTGAAAACAAAAAATGGTCACTATAGAATTCTATACCCAGCAAAAGGATTCTTTTTAAGTGAAGGAAAAAATAGATTTTTTTTAGACATAGAAGAGCTGAAAGAATTAACCAGACCTGCAGTAAAAGAAATGTAAAAAAATTTCTTTAGGTAGAAAGAAAATGACACTAGATTTTAAAAATATGCCTATAGAAAGAAATGACTGGACATATTAACTACTTGGGTATATACAATTTTTAAATTTAAATATCTTAAAAATAGGCTGGGCCCTGTGGCTCATGCCTGTAATCCCAACACTTCGGGAGGCTGAGGTGGGCAGACCCCTTGAGGCCAGGAGTTTGAGACCAGCCTGGCCAACAAGGTAAAACCTTGTCTCTACCAAAAGTACAAAAATTAGCCAAGTGGGGTGGTACATGCCTGTAGTCCCAGCTACTTTGGGAGGCTGAGGCACAAGAATCATTTGAACCCAGGAGGCGGAAGTTGTGGTGAGCCTAGATCATGCCATTGCACTCTAGCCTGGCTGACAGAGTGAGACTCTGTCTCAAAATAAATAAAAACAATATAAATAAATCTCTTAAAAATAACTGACTGTTAAACAAAAAAACTAAATCCATTATGGAGTTTATGTAAGGAGAATTAAAATGTACGACAACAATAGCATAAAGATGGAGTGAGAGGAAATGGAAGTGTTACGTAACACAATATGAAGGGAGACTGTCGTAAATTAAAGATGTATTCAATAAACTCTAAAACAACGACTAAACATATGAAGAGTTATAGAAACTAAGCTGAAAAAGAATATAAAATGAAATCATAAAAATTGCTTAATCTCAGCCAGGCATGGTGGCTCGCACCTGTAATCCCAGCACTTTGGGAGGCCGAGGTGGGCAGATCACTTGAGGTCAGTAGTTTGAGACCAGCCTGGGCAACATGGTGAAACCCCACCTCTACTAAAAATACACAACTTAGCCAGGCATAGTGATGCATACCTGTAGTCCCAGCTATTTGGGAGGCTGAGGCACAAGAATCGCTTGAACCTGGGAGGTGGAGGTTGCAGTGAGTTGAGATTGTGCCACTGCACTCCAGCCTGGGCAATAGAGCAAGACCTTGTCTCAAAAAAAAAAAAAAAAAAAAAAAAAAGAAAAGAAAAGAAAAGAAAAAAAAAAAACTAAAAGAAGAAAGAAAAAGAGGAAAGGGGAAAAAAATGTATGAGACAAACAGAAAACAAAAGCAAAAGGGTAGATTTAAACCTAACCATAATAATTATATTAAATGCAAATGGTCTAACCCAAATTGAAAAGCAGAGATTGTCATATTGGATAAAAAGCAACACCCAGCCGGCACAGTAGCTCATGCCTATAATCCCAGCACTTTTGGAGGCCAAGGCAGGCAGATCATGAGCTCAGGAGATCAAGACCATCCTGGCACACAGTGAAACCCCGTCTCTACTAAAAACATGAAAAATTAGCCAGGCATGGTGGCACATGCCTGTAGTTCCAGCCAGTTGGGAGGCTGAGGCGGAAGAATCACTTGAACCTGGGAGGTGGAGATTGCAGCATAAGCTGAGATTGTGCCACTGCACTCCAGCCTGGGTGACAGAGCAAGACTCTGTCTCAAAAAAAAAAAAAAAAAAAAAAAACCAACACCCAACTATATGCTGCCTATAAGAAATCAACTTTAAATATGGATACAAATAAAGTAAAACGATAGGAAAACTTACATAATGCCAACACTAGTTAAAAGAAAGCTGGAGTGACTATATCAGACAAAGTAGATTTTATAGTAAAGAAAATTAATCAGGGATAAAAGAAGGACATATCAATAAAAAAGACATAGCCATTCTAAGCATCTATATGCACAATAACAGAGCTTCAAAACACAGGAAGCAAGACCTGATAGAACCGTGAGGAGAAACAGACAAATGCAAAATTATAGGCAGAGATTTCAATACTCCTTTCTTATTAGTTGATAAATTAGTAGTCAAAAAATTAGTAAGAATACAGAAGATCTGCTCAACACTATCAACCAATCTGACCTACTGGTATTTACAGCATAATTCATCTAACAGCAGAATATACATTCTCTTCAAGTGTACAGGGGACACTTGCCAAGAGAGACCATATTATTGGCCACAAAAAAGTTTCAATAAAATTAAAAGGATTCAGGGCATACAAACTATGTTCTGTGACCACAACTGAATTCAATTAGAAATCAGTAACATGCTCTTCTGGAAAATGTCCAAATATTTGGAAACTAAATAATATTGTTCTAAACAACCCCTGGTTCAGAGAAGAAATCAAAAGGGGAATTAGAATGCATTTTGCATGAAAATGAAAACATAGCTTACAAGAATTTTTGACATAAGTTTTCCCCAAAGTATTTACTTAATGTCATGAAACTCCCGTACTAGAAAAAAAGTCTCAAATCAATGACTTGAGCTTCCATCTTAAGAAACTAGAGAAAAAACAAAAAGCAAATGAACCCCAAAGTAAGCAAAAGGAAGGAAATAATAAAGATCAGAGTGGAAATAAAAGAAGTAGATAACAGAAAAACAATGAAAAATGGGTGAAAACAAAAGCTGGTTCTTTGAGAATATCAATAAAACTGACAGACCTTTTAATAGCCAGACTGACAAGGAGACACACACACACACACACACACAAAGACAACAATTACCAATTTCAGAAATCAGAGAGGGGATATCACTGCAGATTTTACAGCTATTAAAATGATTAGAGGATATTATAAACAACTTAATGCTAATAAATTCAAGAACTTAGGTGAAATGAACAAATTCCTTGAAAGACACAGACTACCAAAACTCATTTGCAAAGAAATAATCAGAAAAGTTCTATACATATTAAAGAAATTGAGGCTGGGTGTGGTGGCTCACACCTGTAATCCCAGCACTTTGGGAGGCTGAGGCAGGCAGATCACCTGAGGTTAAGAGTTCAAGACCAGGCTGGCCAACCTGGTGAAACCCTGTTTCTACTAAAAATACAAAAATTAGCCAGGCAATAATGCCAGCTACTTGGGAGGCTGAGGCAGGAGAATCGCTTGACGTTGCAGTGGGCCAAGGCTGTGCTATTGAGGTCCAGCCTGGGCAACAAGAGTAAAACTCATCAAAAAAAAAAAAAAAAAAAAAAAAAAAAAGGAAATTGAATTTGTAATTAAAAACCTTTCCCTCAAAAAAATGTAGGAGCAGATGGCCTCAACAGTGAATTCTATATAACATTTTTTTAAAAATGCAAATTGTGCAAAAACACTCCTAGAATTTAAAAAAAAATTTTTTTTTTTTTTTTGGTATTTTTTAGAGATAGGGTCTCTGTCACCCAGCTTGGAGTACAGTGGTATGATCATAGCTCACTGCAGCCTTGAACCCCTCGGTTCAAGTGATCTTTCCACCTTAGCCTTCCAAATAGCTGGGAATACAGGCATGTGCCACCACACTCAGCTATTTAGAGATGTGGTCTTGTTGTGTTGCCCAGGCTGGTCTCAAAATCCTGAGCTCAAGTGATTCTCCCATCATGGCCTTCCAAAGCACGGGGATTATAGATGTCAGCCACTGAACACATCCCCAGAAACGTGAATAGGAAGAAATACTTCCCAATTCATTCCATGAAGCCAATATCACCTTGATACCTAAACCAGAAAAAAGCATTATAAGAAAATAAAATCATAAGACAATATTCCTTATGAGCACAAATGCAAATTTTTTTTTTTGAGACGGACTTTCGCTCTTGTTACCCAGGCTGGAGTGCAATGGTGCAATCTCGGCTCACTGCAACCTCCACCTCCTGGGTTCAGGCAATTCTCCTGCCTCAGCCTCCTGAGTAGCTGGGATTACAGGCATGTGCTACCATGCCCAGCTAATGTTTTGTATTTTTAGTAGAGACGGGGTTTCACCATGTTGACCAGGATGGTCTCGATCTCTTGACCTTGTGATCCCCCTGCCTCGGCCTCTCAAAGTGCTGGGATTACAGGTGTGAGCCACTACGCCCGGCCAAATGCAAATTTTTTTAACAAAACTGTAGCAAATAGGATCCAATAATATATAAAATATATAATACATGGCAATTCAAGTGGGCTTTATCTGAGTGATGGAAGGTTGTTTAAACACGTTTAAATGAGCCAATCTAATTCATGATCTTAACAAACTGAAAAAGAAAAACCATATGATCATCTATTTTGATGGAGATAAAGCATGTGACAAAAACCTAACATCTCCAATTTAAAAAAAAAAACCAAAAACCCCTCAGCCAACTAGGAATAGAAGGTAATTGCCTCAATTTGATGATCATCTAGGAAGAAATCTATAGCTAACATTATAAATGAATGCTTTCACTGTAAGATCGAGAAACTTGACTAGTATATTTACTTTCACCACTCTGTTCAACATTGTACTAGAGATTCCAGCCATACAATCAGGTTAAAAAAAAAAAAAAGAAAAAGAAAAAGAAAGAAAAAAAAAGGCATCAACTGGAAACACGGAAGAAGAACTATCTTCATTGACAGGTAATATGAGTATGCAGAAAATCTAAAGAAATTTTTTTAAGTAGCTATTAAAACTAACAAGTGAGTGTCAGGGTTATAGGAGACAAAATCAATGTACAAAAATCGATAATATTTCCATTTACTAGAAATCAATACTTGAAAAATACACTTACAACAGTATATCGAAATACTTGGTGATAAAATATTACAAAAGAGGTGCACAATCTGTACACTGAGAACTACAAAACATGCTGAGAGTAATTTTTAAAAACCTAAATATACAGAAAGATATACTATGTTCATGGATTGGAAGACTCAATATTGTTAAGATGTCAGTTCTCCCCCAAACTGACCTATAGATTCAACACCATCCTAGTCAAGATCCCACCAGACTGTTTTATAAAAATTGACAATTCAATTCATATGGAAATGTGGTGGGTGTGGAGTAGCCAAAACAACTTTGAAAAAGAGCAAAGTTGGAAAACTAACACAATGTGATTCCCAGATGTTATAGAGCTACAGTTATTTCTCAATGTAATCTGGTCTTCACATGTAAAAATGTGTACAGATATCTAACCAATTTATATAGATTTTTGTTCTAAAATTCAGGGTAAACCAATAAGCATTCTTAGTCCCATAAGATTGTTTTGCTAATAGATATGACTTTATTCCAAATGCCAAGAATGTACTTCTTTGATAGCATCATTGGCTATCCACATCTTCTAATTTATCTGAGTTTCTTCAAAGAAACCAGGATTAGATTTACGTTCTCTATTACAAATTATCTTAAAACCTATTGGTCCATTTAAACTTCCTATTAAAATAGAATCACCCCATTCCACTGGTTTATAAAGCTTTTGAATTAGCAGAAAATTTGTTTTGATGGACTGAATTTCTTGATTTAAAGAAAATCATTTTGTTCCATAACATTTAAAGTGAGTGTTTTTATACTTAAAAGATGTTGTGAATCATTTTTTTTTTTTTTAGTAATGGTGTAGCAGATGTTTGAATTATAAATTCTACTGTCTGCATTCACTTTATGTTGCACATTCTTACTGGAAGTCTGTGATTGCTGTACACTGTGGTAATATTTAGGTCTGCAAGAACACAAAGTGTATTCCAAGGTTATAGGGGGGATACATCATAATTTAGTGAACTTCATAAGCAATACAAGAGGCCATGAGGATAAAGACATGAAGGTTTTAATTAGATCTGTCTCCAGAAAACCTCAAAGCACATATCTGTTTTTTTTTTTTTTTTTTTTTTTTTTAAGAGAAGGGGTCTCATTTTGCTGCCCACGCTGGTCTCAAACTCCTGGCTTCAAGGGATCTTCCCACTTCATCCTCCCAAAGTGCTGAGATTACAGGTGTGTGCAACTGTGCCTGGCCAGCACACATCCTTAACACCGATAATATTCCCAATAGCCTGGGTGCAGTGGCTCATGCCTGTAATCCCAGCACTTTGAAAGGCCAAGACGAGTGGATCACTTGAGGTCAGGAATTCGAGATCAGCCTGGCCAACATAGTGAAATCTCATCTCTACTTAGAATACAAAAATTAGCAGAGCTTGGTGGTGCATGCCTGTAATCCCAGCTACTCAGGAGGCTGAGGCAGGAGAATCACTGGAACCTGGGAGGTGGAGGTTGCAATGAGCAGAGATTGTGCCACTGCACTCCAGCCTGGGCTACAGAGTGAGACTCAGTCTTAAAAACAAAACAAAACAACAACAACAAAAAACAAAAACCATTCCCAATAAATAATGGCTATCCAGTAAGAGATGGGCAAATATTTAGTTGGATAAGATATATTGCTAACTATAATAAAATTAATGTAAAAATCACACCCCATTATGAGTAAGCAAAATTCTAGCTTACACCAAGGAAAATTCTGAAATAGTTATTTCATCAATTATTACAATTTATATATAAAAGTAGCTAATATTATGAGAGGAAAACTAGGAAGATGCAGAAAAAAAGGGAATAGAAAAGAGGTGAACAAATAATATTATGATGTGCTAGTCACTTCATACATATTATTTCTTGTTATGCTCATAACAGTCCTGTGGGAGTTATAACTGCCCCATCTTTGCAGAAGAAAGAACTGACACTCAGCCAGGTGAAATAACTTGTCCCAAGGTCACATCCCTAACAACAGAACAACTCAGTTACCAACCCAGGTTTGCTATTCCAAAGTCTCGGTCCTTTCATTACTCTATGCAAATTACTACAGAAAGAATCTTAACAGAGCATATAATAGGCTTAGTTTATTTTTGCTGCTGCTGATGTCTGCTACAAGCTGCCATGACAGTGAGCCACTGGATTTGACTTACTTCAAGGAGGAATCGCCGACACCAATGCAGCCTCGCAAGCTGAGCTTCCTCAGGAATCCACCACATCGCTTCGAGATATTTTCCACCACTCGACCCTTTAATCAAGAAAGTTGGGGGAAAAATACAGTTTTTTTTTTTCATGCTGCTTATCTAACAGCAAAATAACCTGAAATCTAGGAACTGAATATATTTTTCCAAGCGTAATAGAAGATATTCTGGAACATTCTTCTTGCACCTCAGTTCTATCCTTAATGCATAAAGGGGCTTCAAGCACTGAAAAACGTTCTCGAGTAAAGCATTAATTATTCTAAAACCAACCAACAAACAAAAACAAGCACTAAAACAAAAACCTGTACTGTCTTTTGAAAGCCTGAGCCCTGGGATTAAGCCTTCCCTACCCAGGGCTCACAGCTATTCTGTCGATCATAAGGCTTTTTGAGGTTAGCTGTGGGAACATCAGCCACTGAGCAGAGATCTACGACAATGCTGCTTTAAAAAGAAAATCCTACTTTAGCTAAACATTACCACTTTAAAAGCATAACAATACATTGTAAAAGCTCCCCCTCAATCTCCTTAGCAGTCCCCTTCTTAAACACATTTGCTTTGAAAAAGGAACTTTTGCTGGGTACTGGCAGAGATATTACAGGAAGCAAAAAGAAAATGAACACTGATTAAGCACTTCCACTTTAAAAAAAAAGTTTTCTATTTCAAATCACTTTTTTACTTTGGAGACGGGTTTGGTGGTGGTGGGGTCTCACTCTGGTGCCCAGACTGGAATGCAGTGGTGTGGTCATAGCTCACTGCAGCCTCTAACTCCTGGGCTCAAGTGATTCTCCTGCCTTAGCCTACCACATAGCTAGGACTACAGGCCCATACCAGAATTATGTCAAACATATTATTTCTTGTTATGCTCATGACAGTCCCATGGGAGTCATAACTGCCCTGACTTTGCAGAAGAAAAAACTGACACTCAACCATGTGAAATAATTTGTCCCAAGGTCACATCCGTAACATGCATCTGGTTTACTTCTATTTTTTGAGGAACAACTTCTTGTACCTATTATGGCTCATTTAATGACGACCATTTTGATTTCTGCCTTTATTTCATTGTTTATCCATTCATCATTCAGGAGCAAGTTGTTCAGTTTCCACGTGATTGTGCAGTTTTGAGTGCTTTTCTTAATCCTGAGTTCTAATTTGATTGCACTGTGGTCTAAGAGACTGCTTGTTATGATTTCTGCTCTTTTGCATTTGCCGAGGAGTAATTTCAATTATGTGGTCAATTTTAGAGTAAGTGTGATGTGGTGCTGAGAAGAATGTGTTTGGGGTGAAGTGTTCTGTAAATGTCTATTATGTCTGCTTGGTCCAGATCTGTGTTCAAGTCCTGGATATCCTTGGTGACTCTGTCTCATTGATCTGTCCAGTATTGTCAGTGGAGTATTAAAGTCTCCCACTATTCCTGTGTGGGAGTCTAAGTCGCTTTGTAGTTTTATGTATCTGGGTGCTCCTATATTGGGTGTATATATATTTAGGATAGTTAGCTCTTCTTGTTGCATTTTACCATTATGTAATGCCCTTCTTTGTCTCTCTCGTTCTTTGTTGGTTTAAAGTCTATTTTTTCAGAGACTAGGATTGCTACCCACTCCCCCCCTTTTTTTTTTGCTCTCCATTTGCTTGGCAGATCTTCTTTCATCTCTTTATTTTGAGTCTATGTGAGTCTTTGCACATGTGATGGGTTTCCTGAATACAGCACACCACTGGGTCTTGACTTTTATTCAGCTTGCCAGTCTGTGTCTTTTGATTGGGGCATTTAGGCCATTTATATTCAACGTTAATATTGTTATGTTGGAATTTGATCCTGCCATTTTGTTACTGGCTGGTTGTTTTGCCTGTTAGTTGATGTGGTTTCTTCATTGCCTCATTGTTCTTTACCATTCAGTACGTTTTTGCAGTGGCTGGTACTGGTTGTTCCTTTCCATGTTTAGTGCTTCCTTCAGGAGTTCTTGTTAAGGCAGGTCTTGTAGCGATGAAATCTCTCAGCAGTTGCTTGTCTGTAAAGGATTATATTTCTCCTTCACTTATGAAGCTTAGTTTGGCCAGATATGAAATTCTAGGTTGAAAGGTCTTTTCCTTAAGGATGTTGAATATTGGCCCCCACTCCCTTCTAGCTTGTAGAGTTGCTGCTGAGAGATTCGCTGTGAGTTTGATGGTCTTTCCCTTGTGGGTAACTTGACCTTTCTGTCTGTCTGCCCTTAGGATTTTTTCCTTCATTTTAACCCTGGTGAATTTGACGGTTATGTGCCTTGGGTTTGCTCTTCTTCAGGAATATCTTCGTGTTGTTCTATGTATTTCCTGGATTTGAATGTTGGCCTGCCTTGTTAGGTTGGGAAAGTTCTCTTGGATAATATCCTAAAGAGTGTTTTCCAGCTTGGTTTCATTCTCCTCATCACATTCAGGTACGCCGATCAAGCATAGATTAGGTCTCTTCACATAATCCCATAGTTCTTGGAGGCTTTGTTCGTTTCTTTTCACTCTTTTTTCTCTGATCTTGCCTTCTCATTTTATTTCATTGATTTGATCTTCTATCTCTGATATCCTTTCTTCTGCTTGATCAATTTGGCTGTTGAAACTTGTGCATGCCTCGTAAAGTTCTTGTGCTGTTTTTCAGCTCCGTCAAGTCATTTATGTTCTTCTCTAAGCTGGTTATTCTAGTTAGCATTTCCTCAAACCTTTTTTCAAGGTTCTTAGTTTATTTGCATTGGGTTAGAACATGGTCTTTTAACTCAGAGAAGTTTGTTATTATCCACCTTCTGAAGCCTGCTTCTGTGAATTTGTCACACTCATTTTGTCTCATTTTGTTCCCTTGATGGTGAGGAGTTGTCATCCCTGGCGGGGGGAAGAGGTTTTCTGGTCTTTGAAGGTTTCATTCTTTCTGCACTGTTTTTTACCCATCTTCATGGATTTATCTCCCTTTGATCTTTGAAGTTGGTGATTTCAGGAGAAATCCAGAATGGATGTCCTTTCTGTTGCAGTTGGAGCTATATCTTTTTTGGCCTATAGAGGCGCTGCTGGGCTGCCTTGGATTCACTCAGGTTGCTGGGTGGGTGAAGGTGAAATCAGATCTCTCCTTCCCAATGGCATCTCTCCTTCCCTGAGCTCGATCTTCCTGATTGGGGTCAAACTGGTGTATTCGCTGCCAAGCTCTCTGGCGCTTGGGCTTCAGTTTGAGTTTTGTGGGGGGTGGGGTCTGCCAGGCCTTATGACTTGTTTCCCTGCTTTCAACTCTGCCTCTTTCTGTGGGACGGGTTGTTCTGTCCTGCTGGCGCTAATCCAAATTTCCACCCAGGTCCGGTTGACAACTTGCAGCAGCAGGCGGGAGCCGTGGCTCAGATTTGCATCCACAACCCACCGTGACCCTCGGTCTGGCAGGGCTCTTGTGGACTGTGGGTTGCAGGAGGGATAAGGTAAGCACAGGATCTGAATCGGGGCACTGAGGGGGTGAAGTCCCCCGACCCTCCAAGCTGGCTGCACATTCCAGATGGGGACACGCCCACCCCGCCTTGGTTTATTCTCCCTGGGCGGCTCTTGCCCTGCTTTGGCTTCTTCCCTGAGCTACTGTCAGAATCTTCCCAGTCCCCTCAAAACGAACCTGGCACCTCACTTGGAATCATGAAGTCCTCTAGCCCTCCGTGTCTCATTTGCTGGGAGCTGCATTCTGGTGTTGCCTCCTCTCGGCCATCTTGGTGCCGCCCCAATTTTTTTTTTTTTTTTTTTTTTTTTTTTTTTTTTGAGACAGGGTCTCACTCTGTCACCCAGGCTAGAGTGCAATGGCACAATCAGAGCTCATTGTAACCTCTGCCTTCTGGGCTCAGGTGATCCTCCCACTTCAGCCTCCTGAGTAGCTGGGACTACAGGTGTGTGCCATTGTGCCTGGCTAATTTTTGTTTTTTCATTTGTAGATACCAGGTTTTGCTATGTTGCCCAGGCTGGTCTTGAACTCCTGGGCTCCAGCAATCTGCCTGCCTTGGCCTCCCACAGTGTTGGGATTTCAGGTGTGAGCCACTGCACCCGGCCTGACTTTAAAAGTTCTTCACGTGTTTTCCAAAAAGGTTATATGGTTGGAAAAGTCATCAAAATTGAGATGTGAAGAACCACAGAAAAAGAGAAATTATTTTGCTCAACTTTTTCAAAACAATAATGTTCCTTTTGGTCAGTAGAAATGACTACAATTTTTAGAAATTAAAGGTCCTCTGTATCATCACTACGTAAACACAGTGAACAAAGATTTAGAGATGATCAGTTTGAAGGGAAATTACATTCACTGGCATGGAATGTTGGCATGTTTAAGTGGGCACTATTGTAATCACTTCCAATAAGTCTCAAAAGAACCCTAAAGAACATCTACTTCAGAAACTACAGTGTTAAGACAGGACCTAGAGCTTATCTTTCCAGGATGGGCACAAATCCTTGACGTCCCTGCTCCTTCCAAGCTCAGAACACCACAATATGACAGAAATAAGGGGTTTCTCTTTTGATTTAACAAAGGGAAATCTTCTGCTCTGCCCCACTTACTGGAAGTATTGTGCTCCACTGGTTTAAGGTGAGGACCAGAGACTCACCTGCAGTAAGTAACCTAAAGAAGGAGGTGAAGAGTCTCCACAATTGACCATTAGTTTGTCTAAGTCAAGCCAGGTTAAGTAGCTAGCAGGAAATTGCTTAGCTCAATCCTACTGTTAAACATATTAATTCCCTTATCCATTAAAAAAAAAACCAAAACACCCCACCATGTACATCTTGCTAAAAACACATGGCAAACATACTATGTGAGTAACTAAATTAAAGTGCAGTTCCACTACTGTAAGTTAGTTGGCTAAACTGGAAATAAATTAGGTTTCACATAAGGTAGATAATAAACTTCAGCATCTCAAGACTCTCGAACCAGCGCTTCAGATAATTCCTAAGTACAATGCTCGTTAATGTTCCCTGTCTCAACTTTCTTTTTGGTTAGAAATTTAGTATTGAGTATTAAAGTTGTTTTAAAATAAACTTTCTTTATTTGGTCAGTTTTATCACACTTAAATGGAGATATTTACATATTTACAGATAAATATATCAGCATCTTGGAATTACAAAAGACTTAACTATTACTTTACTTCTTTATTTTACAGATAATAAAGCAGAAGTACTAAGAGATTATATGACTTAAGTGGCTGAGCTGGGGTGACGCTTTAGATTTCCAGCCTCACCCATGGGCCTGTGCTTCTGCCATTTCTCCACTTTTGATGCTGAATTAAAATTCTCAGCGGGATTTTTAGGTCAATAAATATTTGTGAAGTCTCCTAAGGCTAAAGCACTGAACAGGTGTTAATGATGCAGGCGTGTGGCTTTAAAAAGCTGAGTAGTAAAACTCAGACTATAAACATAAACGAGGGAAAAGCAGTCTGTTACTGACACAATTTAAATGCAAGCAGGATTTTGTTTGGATGTATGCAAACCTCTTCCAGTTTTTCTTTTTTCTCTTCTACCTTAGCACTTTAATGGTAGATCTAAATGCAGTAAAATATAAAAAGGCGGGAAAGAGGGAACAGCTACTCAGCTTTTTAAAGTTTTCTGTCTAAACCAAAGCTAACTTACCTCTACGTCTGTTTGAAAGTTAAAAAGATCTATTCTTTGCCAGTTGCTTCCATCCAGGGCTAAGATGTTCCAAGCCTGGAAGGTGGGAGGTAAAGGAAGAGGGATTGGGGTGAAAGAAACACATTTACAGAGACTATTAAAGAAAGCTTTGATTAACCTTTATTTTCAAACTTTTATTTTTGATGTATATTAAGTTAATCATCAAATGCAAAATTATACCATTGTGTTATAGTAAGTATAAAAGATAATAAAGTTTTAATTTTCAGTAATTTGAACTAAAACTCATTCTAAAAAAACTTGACATTTATTGATTAAAAATCTGGTGAATACTCTACCTTGGAAATCTGTGCACATCGGCACAAAGTTACTATATCCAAGAAGGAAAATATTCTATAGAAAGAGGAAAAAAACACAAATACGAGATGGTGTTAACATTTCAGGATTATTATAACTTGAAAGATAAAATCTAATGTGCCACCTGGATACGTAAGTTTTTTCAAGATTTCTCAATCTGCAATATACGAGTACACTATAATTTTATATCACTACAGTGAAATATTAAATGTTCGCATGTTAAGAAGTTTTGGACACACTGTACAAATGACCTTAGAAATCATTAAGCTCGTATTTCCCTTGTTCGAAGAAATGGACAGGAGAAAGACCGTAACTGGTTCTATTTGAAGACCAACTCTCTAGCAGAATAAGCCCTCTTTTGGTGGTAGATGCACTACACAGGCTCAGATGCCCAAGCCTCAAATAACATTGTCAAAAAAAGCTTGATGACAAAGCCCATTTGGTTGGAAGTATTTGTTCGCCTGGCAGAAAGATGGAGCTCATTAGTTGGCAAAATCTCTAAGTGACCAGTTTTTCCTAGCCAAAAGCCAAGGAGCCACAGAACATAGGAAAGACGGGGGGAAAGAAAAGCAGACAGAAGCAAACAAAATCTTAGTTGGCATTGGTAATGCCTTAGAGGGACCAGTAGCTGCCAGCTTGGCAGGGGATAGAGTGAAGCCTTAACATTCTGGCAGTCAAGGAGAGGCGCTGCCGCTGACAGCATGTGAGCAAACAGCCGTGTGCGCCTCAGTACTGCGGAGTGACAGCCGAAAACAAAGGTCAGCTTTTCTGTGAAAGAAGGGTGGATAGGATTGAAGTCAGGAACAAGAACCCTCAATTCGGAGGGTCCTGGAAAGTAAATATGAGAGTCTGTGCCTCTGAGTATGGAAGAGGGAGAGTGGGAAAATGGCAAACAGCCACCTATAATGTTCCTCAGAATTCTTCAAAGGTAACAGTCAGTGGTGTGATAAAAATCCATGGGCTCAGGGAAGAAGAGAAGAGGCATAAAAAATCAGAGTATTGTACCCTGCAACAACACACCCACACGCAGTTCCATGGGATACTGACTGCACAGATGCCATTCTGCAGTATAGGCTACAGTCATTTTCTAGTGAAAAGCAAAGGACAGAAGCATAATAAGGGCTACATTGACTTTTAAAGATTCTGGCTGGGTGCAGTGGCTCACACCTGTATTCCCAGCACTTTGGGAGGCTGATGCGGGAGGATCACGAGGTCAGGAGTTTTAGACCAGCTTGATCAACATAATGAAACCCCGTTTCTACAAAAAATACCAAAATTAGCCAGGTGTGGTGGCATGCACCTGTAATCCCAGCTACTCAAGAGGCTGAGGCAGGAGAAGCACTTGAACCGGGAGGTGGAGGTTGCAGTGAGCCGAGATTGTGCCACTGTACTCCAACCTGGGTGACAGAGCGAGACTCCATCTCAAAAAAAAAAAAAAAAAAAAAAAGATTTAGTGGATCTTAGTACACAGAAAAATGCTGGTGGCATCTAAAATATGAGTACTTGAACATATATATTCAATGTACTTCAGGGTATCTACACATCTGCAGTGCCCAACTCAAAGGCTCTCCTGCCCCTAAGAGCTGTGTCCTATGGCATAGGACCACCCCACAGCTAGCCATATCTGATTGTCAGCTTCCTACAGGAAACAAGCACCAGACAGAGAAACTAGCCTGGTGCAGTAGAATCAGATTTCGTGCAGGGATTGAGTTCTAAAAGCATAAGCCAAAGGTTAAAAAAAAAAAAGAGTTCGCTGTTTACCTTGAAAATCCCTTAAGAGTATGCCACATTATTACATCTCAGTAATAATAATACTGGCAATAACAAAAACAGTTAATATTGATTATGCACTGACTATGTGCCAGCCATGGTTTACATGCTAGTCATTACCTGTAAATAATGACTGTGAGGTGTTGTGCTATTACTATCTTCATTTTACAGGCAAGGACACTGAGCATAGAGGTTAAGTAACCTGCCCAGGGCACATTGATAGTAAAGGTAGAACTGGGATTTGAACCCAGGTAGTCTGGCTCAAGAGCACATGCCCATGACTATTATATATACTGCTTTGGAAAGTTTAACACAGCTGTTTTTCCCTCAGAATTGGACTAGATCTCGAGAAAGAAAAGAAACTTTTAATCTAAGAGATGTGAGCCGCTATGTGGGCTCTAGAGTGACTGACACAAGTAGCTATAAAGTAACCCAACAATGCCATACACTGGCCGCCATAACTCCTACCTCATAGTTCAGCAATGTACAGCCAATCACTAACCAATGTTACTTCTAAAAACCAATGAGAGTTCCCAAAAAACAACTTTTGTAATCGCCCCCTCTCCTGATTCAGTCTCAACCTTGAGATAAACTCTCTAGCTTAATTTTGACTCAGTTTCCTTATTTAGGTCAACAGTGCTTTTTTTTTTTTTTTTTTTTTTTTTTTTTGAGATGGAGTTTCGCTCTTCTTGCCGGGGCTGGAGTGCAATGGTGCAATCTCAGCTCACCACAGCCTCCGCCTCCCAGCTTCAAGCAATTCTCCTTTCTAACCATGCCCAGATAATTTTGTATTTTTAGTAGAGATGGGGTTTTTCCATGTTGGTCACAAACTCCCGACCTCAAGTGATCCACCTGCCTTGGCCTCCCAAAGTGCTGGGATTACAGGTGTGAGCCACCACACCCAGCCTACAGTGTTATTTCTTAACTGATAACAGATGAAGTAGTTTTCATTTAGTGAGTATGCTGTTTGGAACAAACTGGATTCATGCTTCAGTCACAAACGAAGCAAGATGCTCACACATTGAGACACACAGGAACCAGCAGGTGGAACTGGAATTCACATTTTTCATCTCATGCTTAATACCTAGTTTTATGATTACTGAATGAAAAAATAGATTGCCTAAAGTATTTACATTATTTCCCCTCTCACCAACCTTTTACACTGAAAATAGTTGAATCTGCACAAATAGGCATGGCAATACTCCAAACTACCACACTGACGCCAAAGCCAATTCCTGACTCACGCTTCAATGAATAAAAGTAATGCACTGAATTACACAGCCTGGGATACTGGCAATAGAAACATAGATAGCTACACGAGTGGCAAACCGAGTCCTGACCCCTCCCAAACCTTCTTTCCTGGAAAGTGCTTCCTATCTCAAATTGTGATAACCTCAACTTTATGAGGCAAGAGCTACAATAGCACCCTGGTTAGAAATATCCACAGGGGAGCAAAGGGCTGGATGTGCTTTTGGACTTTGTATTGTGCTCCATTAGTCTGTCTGTCTTTGTGCGAGTAAGGCCGTTTTAATTATGAAGCTTCAATAATAAGTCACAATGTCTGGTAACGTATGACTTTCAACTTTGTTCTTCTCCATCAAGATTATCTCAGTATTCTTGACACTCAGAAATTCCAATTAAGTTTCAGAATCAGCATATCAATTTCCACAAGAAAATTTTCTGAAATTTTTACTGGGATTGCATTGAATTTATAGGAAATTTGGGAAAAATTGAGATTTTTGCCATATTAAATCTTCCAATCCAGAAACAAGATCCATTCCAAAATTTATTTAGGACTTCTTTAATTTCTCACAGTAATTGTTATAGTTTTCCACATAAATACCTTGCTGATCTTTAGATTTTTTTTCCTTGTTATTTAATGTTCTTATTATTAAAATGAAATATTTTGGGGTAGGCATGGTGGCTCATGCCTATAATCCCAGAACTTTGGAAGGCTGAGGCAGGAGGATCACTCGGGCCCAGGAATTCAAGACCAGCATGAGCAACATGGTAAAACTCCATTGCTACAAAAAATATATATAAAAATTAGCTGCGTGTGGTGGTGAATGCCTATAGTCCCAGCTACTCAGGAGGCTGAGGTGGTAGGATCAACAGAGCCCAGGAAGGTCAAAGCTGCAGTGAGCTGTGAACCTGGGTGACAGAGTGAGACCCTGTCTCAAAAAAAAGGGGGGGGGGAATATTTTAAATGTCATTCTTTAATTGTTGTTAGTTTATAATGTTAATTTTCATATACTGACCTTGTAGCCAACCATATTTCTAAATTTGTTTATTCATTCTGATTTTTTTTTCCCTGAGACAGAGTCTTGCTCTGTCTCTACATAAAACATCAATTCACTATTAAATAATGAACCAACTTTCTTCCTTTCGAATAATTATACTTTCTATTTCTTTTAATTAGTACAGTGGCTATGATCTTCTCTAGCACAATGATAAATAGAACTGGTAATGAAATATATCTTTGTCGCATTCTCATCTCAGAGAAAAAGCTGCCACTATTCAATTATTATGATGTTTACTATATGTTTCTTTTTCTGGCCTTTTAATTATTTTCTAATTCCTTTGTTACATCCTGTAAAATATTTCCATTTTACACATGGATGATTTTAACACCTCTCACATTTATCTCTTTAAAATTTTTATTTAAAATAAGAGCAAGTAGTGCAGAGAGTTACCATATACACACCTGCCAACAAACACGTAGTTCCCCCTATCATTAACATGTTGTTTTAGTGTGGTACATTTGATGTTAGCTGTAGGTCTTGTGTAGATGTTCTTTATCAAGTCAGGAAGTTCCTCTCTATTCCTAGTCTGATGAGTATTTTTATCATGAATGGGTGCCACAATTTGTCAAGTATTTTTTCTGCATTTTCTGATGTGACCCGTAAGATTTTTTCTTTAGTCTGTTGATGAAATAGATTACACTGATTTTTGAATGGTTAAAATATGCTTGCATACTTGAAATAAATTCTGCTTTATTGTGGGATACGATTATTTTGTATATCACTGGATTTGACTTGCTAATATTTTGTTAAAGATTTTTGCATCAATTTTCATAAAAAATGTTGGTCTTGAGTTCTCCTTTTTTGTAGCATTTTTATATGGTCTTGGTATTACGGTAACAATGGGCTCCCAGAATGAGTTAGGGAAGTGTTCTGCTTCCAATTTCCTGGACAACATTATTATAGAGAACTGCTATCATTTCTTTCTTAAAAGTTTGGTAAAATTCACCACTGAAACCACCATCT